ATATCCTATACAGCTTGCCTTCATAAATTTCAGGATATACAGCAGTACTTACAAATGGCTGTGAGTGCAAGATCAAAATTCATTCTAATGATGTATCAAGAATCTTTGTATTTAAAAAAGTGTATAATATCACAATCTTAGGTTCTGTGTCAAATGAGTTTCTGATGCAGGAGCTTGATAGTACCACTGTGTTAGAGAGACACGTGTTTTTCATTCCTCAGTCCCAGGAGTGGAAGCCACAATGGACACTATGGTCTTTTGAGCAGCATGAGCAGGTCCCAAGTGGAGAGGGTCCTGCCACCTGGGCTGCACGACCCCTAGACACTGCTGTCTCAGCGTCTCACTGGGGGAAAAGGTGCCAGTGGAGCTTAGGGAAAGTGCCCATGGGAGAAGACAAGCAACTTGGAGTGGAGAATCACACACCCTCAAAAGTAGCCCTCAGCCACTCCTGGGTAGCCCAGAGCCACCATATGACCACGTAACTGGAACTGCTCACCTGGCATCTACAAATCCTCATATTATGCAAAAAGAATGGAACGTGCCTCTGCTATTTTTTTTTTTTTTACCTTGAACTTAAAATTTGTCTAAGACAATTTTCCAAATAAAATGTCCCTGGGTGTCCTCTCTTCTACAACTGGCCCTGACCAACCCATATCTTGAATATTTTCTCTGCCTCTGTATTAGTCCACTCTCACACTGCTGATAAAGGCATACCTGAGACTGGGTAATTTGTTAAGAAAAGGAGGTTTACTGAATTCATAGTTCCACTTGGCTACGGAGGCCTGACAATCATGGCAGAAGAGCAAGCGACATCTTAAATGGTGTCAGGCAAGAAAGAATGAGAGCCAAGCAAAAGGGGTTTCCCCTTATAAAACCATCAGCTCTCCTGAGACTTACTCACTACCACGAGAGCAGTATAGGGGAAACCGCCCCCATGATTCAATTATCTCCTACTGGGTCCCTCCCACCTGGGAATTATAGGAGTTACAATTTAAGATCAGATTTGGCTGGGGACACAGCCAAACCATATCAGCCTCCCTGTAGAAAACAAAATGAGATTTTAGAAATGCTCTGTTATAGATGCATAGCATGATTTTGTGTACATGTATTGAAGAAGAATGAATGAAGACAGAATAAAGTTACTTGATCATCAGACATTAATCAGGTAATTCTATCAGGTCTCAGTCAATTTCATTAGATAATAATTTTCAGATTTCAATTGCTCATTTCACAAATATTCTCTTAACAAGTCAGGTACACATTTTTAAGTTATTTGCATTATTCAGAGGAATGATGCTATGAAATTTAAAAATTATTTTAATATCAAAATATTTAATCTTTATATTATATACCTAGATATTTGCACACTAAATTAAACCAATAACAGAAGTACATGCAGTTTAAAATGATCAAATTGATCTACAAGAGACAAACTTCTCAGTAATATCTATTATATATACATATCTGTGACACCCACAAACACACATATTCATAGCAATCTTGATATTGGATAAACCTGTCTCATTCCCTGAAACAATTGTACCTACTTTGCATCTGTAATTTAACGGGTTGCTAGGGAACTTGGCTTTTTGGATTTATTTCTTTAAGAGGTCATCCTTTTAAAAGCAGCCATCCCAGAATACACTTCTTCAAAAGCTCTTTTTCAGTGTCCCTAATAGAAGCCTCATTTCAGTGTGTAAGCAGAACATTTGCAATTTGGTTTTAATCTTTCTCCCTGTGGCACTCATTTCTATTTCATGTGCTTTGGCCTCTCTTGGCTCTTTTCGTTTTTTTCTGTGCATTAATTACCCTTTTGCTATGTTTTAAGTGTCAGAAATGTGCTTCTTGGCTTTTAACATTGGCTTTAGTTCTGCCTCACTGATCCTTGAAAGACACAATTGTGTTTCTGATTAATTACCTTTCTCATCTGTAAGAGTTGAAGAAGGAAGAAAGCGACATGAAAAGTGGCTCAACAGTCAAAGGTTTATTTTAGAGAATAAACCTGAGAGAGGTTTCTGGCCGAGTTAGGTCAGGAGGCTTTTCTCTTACACACTAAGGGTATTTAAGGGTTCAGGGGCTCGTGAGGAGGGGGTACCTTATCCTCCTAGGGCCTGATGGTTCAGTTAGGACCAGGTGTGCTATCTGTATAGAGCAGAGTTTTTATCAGCTCTCACCCCATTCCCAGACCGCCTAGGCCAACTTTTAGTCTGTATCTCTTTGTCTTGCTTATTAGGGAGAAAGAGTTTCTGTGTCTGTTCCCACACATCTTCCTGCAGCTGCAGGCGTACTCCTCAGTCTGCCTTTAGCTTCCCTATCTTCATGCACCTAAAAGGAAAGGAATGTGCTTATTAGGGCCCACTGTCTCACTGGGGCCCATTGTGTAAATATGAAGTTTGGTGATTACCCAAGAGACTTCTCCCTTCCTTCTGTGCCCGAGCTGTTTTATGTGTTTTACTGTCTGCTTTTTCTGGCTTCTTGTTGTCAGAAGAGAATTAATTTTCTTGAAATGCATGAGGTTAGAAAGAGAGCTGGAATTTAAAATGGTGGTGTTTGTCCAAGATGATGGTGCTCCTGCTCTGTCATCATCTAAGAACATTCTTGTTATATTTCATTTGATGTTCAAATTGCTTTAACTTAAGTCTGTGCTACTGAGAACGTGCTGGATTTGAATCAGCCATTCAGCAAACACGCAGTGAGTGTGCCCGCCGTGGGCCAGGTGTGGGGCTGTGAGCTGAGAAGGTGCACCTGGTCTGCAACCTTTCCACACAGGCAAAGCCTCAGCCAGGTGATTACAAATAGCTAAATAGTTGTAGGTGTGGAAACCACCTCACTGGGAACCACAGGGTGCTTGGGGGACGCTACAGATAATCCTTGGGAGGAAGGGGGCTGGGATGCTTGTGAGGCTGCCCCGAGGACAGCATTAGATGGGGTTTCAGAGGAGGATTCAGAGTCACGACTCCACAAGGGAACATGGAAGCTCCCATGGGGAGGAATCGAGGCTTTCTACAGCCCTGCAGGGACAGAACCTGTGTCAGGTGGAATAACTACTACTGAGGAGGTGAACACAGGGGTCTGAGGGCCTAGGGGCCACGTTGCATTCAGCATTTTGAGCTTTACTTTGCTTGAAAGAGGAAGCTGCTGAGGACTGGATGCTTGTGAGTTAAAGGATCGGATTCACTTACTTTGTATGAAAGGCCGTTCTGACTGATGAGCAGACTGAAGGAGAACCAATGTGGACGTAGGAAAACCCCTAATCCAGACAGGGGAGAGGGGAAGCACATCTTAGTGCGGGATGGAGTCCAGGGCCCCATCTAGCGGAGTTAGTCAGCGTCCAGGAGACCTGGAGAAGGAGAGACGGCCCAGGTCGGTTGCTCAGGGTTTAGCTAGAGCAACTGGGGACACGTGATGGTTTATAAAAGGCTGGGAATACTAAAGCCAGAGGAGGCGTGGGTGGGAAATCTCTGAACCTGGCTTTAGAAGTGTCCACAGCTGGTCCACGTGGAGAGGGAGTGTTGTGGACTCCATGGGCATGGGGGTCAGCTGCACTAAAGAGCACTGGAAACTGAGGTGTGGTGGGACGCCGAGGGCCTGATGTAGATGAACACATGACAAAGGGTCTAATTATCCAGGGTAAGTGTGCAAAGGAGAATGGAAGAAAGCCTAGGACAGACAACTGAAAACCTCTCCTCCTTCACATCTAGGTGGCAGGGAAGAGCCAGCAGAGAAACAAACAGAATCATGGTTAAAAGGAAAACAAACAACAAACAAAACAAGAATGATGTAACCAAAGCCACAGAGAATTAGCACGTGGTATTGAGCTTGCCGAGAGGGCGCTGGGTTGGGACTGGAAGCCTGTGCTGGGTTTAGGCAGTGTGGGGCGTGGGTCCTCAGGGAGGACAGTTTAGGTGGAGGGGACTAGGTGGGGAATGGAGCCCAGGCAGCGGAGCACCCCGAGGGCTGGGCTGTTCCTCCAGGCTGCCCCGTGTGATTGAGGCCAGGGTCCTCAGTCACTGAGCTCACAGCAGCCCGCGTGTGGCTGCGTCGGATCCATTCAGGGAAGCTCTCCTAGAAGCTGGCCATGCCTCCAAACAGGTGCACGACCTTAAGGAGTGTCCAGCTTTGCTTGTGTGTTTGGTGTGCCTAGAGAGTGAGGACCTGGCCATGGATCTCTGGTCTGTTTCCCGGGGGTGTATCCTTGGACAGGTTGCCTCACTCACTGGTGCCTCCGTTTCCTGGCAGGCCCCACCTCCCTGGAGGTTGTGAGGACGCATGGAATGAGATGAGAACTGAAGAGGCCTAGAGTAGCCCGGGATGCAGGTGTGCTCAGTACTGAGCAGTCTTCATTCCTCCAATTGCCACCAGGGGTCTCAGAAAAAAAGTAAATCCAATTTATCTGGCTATTTTTTTTTTTTTTTTTGCTATTGATGTTTATGGCTACATGATCAATGTGCATGTTTTGGGGGTCCATGTGGTATTTTGAGGCATGGTATGGCTGCTCTGCCTTGGGGAGGAGGGGAGGAGGAACACAGCTGAGGATGCACAGCTGGAAATAGATTTTCTAAGTGGCCAATCCCAGTGTTGGGTTTTCGGGTTTCACTTTCTGGAGAACTGTTGTAGAGACAACAGTTTGAGCAGGGCCAGGAGAGCTCATAATAATTATTCCTTTCTTCATTTAAATTTAGCTTTTGCTAGGTAGTTTGTGGTTGTTTTCATATTCTAGAACTCTCCAAACTTTACACTTCAATTAAATTTTTTTAAAAGATTTCCTGGGACTATTCTTATAACAGAATCAATGGGATACAAAGACCATTCCAAGCCCCATTTCTTAATTTCCCAAAAGCATTTGTCTAATCATTGGTGTTTTAACTTGATTAAAATTTTCTCAATATTTCTGTTTCATGTTCAGGTAAGGAAAATGGCTTATCTAACTGGAAGCTGTGACTTATATTCTGAATTGGGTTGAAAATAATAAACTTTTCATGTTTCATGAATTGTTGCAGACTGAAGAATAATCACTTCACTGAAAGTTACCAGCTCGATGCACAGAGAGTTGACCGGACATCGAGAACAACCACCACCATCAGCCAAAGTAAAATGCCATAAGCCACTTTTTATTTCTGAGAAATCTTTTAGGCAAAGTGTGAGGCATTTTTCTCCTGAATTAGAGAAAGAGTTACCTCTAAATTATTAGTTTCACTTAATTATATATTTTTGGCTTAGTAATAAAACTAAGGAAATTACTTGCTCTTTTAGTAGTGGTGTTAATAAAACCTTTGCACCTTTGCAGGGCTAAATCTTTTTCACTATGTGATATCAAGGCATATAAGTCTTAATCCTGGGGTTTGAAGTAAAAACATAATATATCTTTAGTCTATGTTTTTTTTTTTTTTTTACCCCCAGCTTTGGTGAGATATGGTTAGTATATAACAACCGCACATCATTAATGTATACAATCTGGCCAGTCTGGACCTATGTATACACTTCTGTCACTGTCGCCACAACCAGGCAATACACATACTTATTGCCTCTAAGAGTTGTCTTGTGTCTCATTGGTTTTTGTTTGTTTAATGTGAGATCCACCCTGTTAACACTAACTGGAAGTACACAAAACCGTGTTAGTTCTGGGCACTGCACTGTACAGCAGGTCTCTGGAACCGATGCATCTCACTTAACTGTAACTTTATGCCCATTGGATAATAACTCCCCACACCCCTTTCCCCAGGTCCCACTAAACACTGGCCTGCTATCCCCTCCTCTGACTATTCCAGAAGCCTCCTGTAGAGGAATCAGGCAGTGTTTGTCCTTCTGTGGCTGATATTTATTTTGGCATCATGTATTTTAGGCCTAGCCTTGTTGTTGAAAATGGCAGGATTTCTTGTTGAGACTGAATAATGTCCCATGGTGTGGATATACCACATTTTCTTTATCCATTTATCAGTCAGCAAACATTTGGACAGCTTCCTTATCTTGGCTGTTGTGCACAATGCTGCAATACACATGGGAGTGCAGGTGTCTCTTTGAGACCCTGATTTTAATTATTTTGGGTCTATTCCCATAAATGGGATTGTCGGATCATAGGGTAGTTCCATTTTTACTTTTTGAGAGACCCCCATACTGTTTCCTGTAGTGGCGGCATCATTTTCCCATTCTCACTGGCAGTGGCTGCCGTCATCACGCCGGCTGCTGCAGGGAGGCGTGGCTGGGGCTACAGACTCCGTGCAGCTGGTGGGAGACCCACCCTCCTGGGCGGGGCTACTACAGCTGCCTAAACTGCGGCTGTAGATCCGAGCCTCTTTGTGCTTTTGGAGGGGCCAGGAGCAGGTAGGATCTACCCTTCTGGGTGGGTGCAGACCTGGGCCTCCCACTCCGTGGAGCAAGCAGGTGCCAGGGACAGGGAGGAATCCTACCCCTTCTGAGTTGGCAGGGCAGGAGGGAGCTCCCCTGTGGCTGCCTGCCCAGTGAGTGGCATAAGGCTCAGGACCTGGGCATCGCTGCAGCCTGCACCCTTGGGGGCCCGGGAAGGCCCTACCCACTTCCCCCCATCGCTGCAGGCTCAGAGGTGTCTGTTCCTGCTGCCTGCCCTCTCTCTGCTCCCGGTGCCCACTCCAATCTCAGAGCTGGGTGGGAGCCGAGCCCTGGGGCCATGAATGGCAGTGGCAGGCAGATTAATTCCTGGGCAGAAGCGGTGGGTCACCAATAAGGCTCGCCTTCAGGCCAGGGAGGGCCAGGCTACCAGTCCAGCAGACTGCAGACTGGAGTGGGGACTCCTGGTGCCTCTTCCAGGCCTGCCCATGGCCACCCATGGACCAACTGGCAGGCCTTTCCTCCCCTGTGAGGTCCATAAAAATCCCTGGGCTCAGAGCCCAGGGCAGAGGATGACCAGAAGGTGAGGAGGGCAGAGAGAGGACTGGATGACCAGCTGCAGAGAAGAATCTCTCTCTGCTGACAGCTGGAGACGATGGGACAGCCAGCTGCAGAGAGGAATGCCCTCTCCACTGAGAGCTGCAGAGACAACCTGCCAGCAGAGAGGAGCTACTCTTTCTGCTGCGAGCTTCAGAGACCTGCAGAAATGTCCAAGCGATCTGCCTGCAGAGAGGAGCTACCCTCTCCAGGGCCACTTCAAAGAGCTGAACATTCCACTGGATGACCTGCCTGCAGAGAGGAACTACCCACTCCTCTGAGCTGTTCTAACACTTAATAGAACGCTTCTTCTTCACACTTTACTTGTCTGTATGCCTCATTCTTCCTGAGACAAGAACTCAGGCAAAGGCACCACAACCGCCGGGGTTTCTGGCCAGAAAAATCGACACCCGAGATCGCTGAACACCACTGAAAGTGTGCAAGGCTCCAGCCTCTCCACAGGCTCAGCAACACTTGTCCTCTCTTTTTCTTTATAATGATCATCTTGACAGGTGTGAAGGGAAATCTCATTGTGGTTTTTTATTTGCATCTCCCTGGTGATTAGTGAAATTAAACATCTTTTCCTATTCCCATTGGCCATTTCTATGTGTTCTTTGGAGAAATATCTATTCATGTCCTTTGTTCGGCTTTTAACTGGGTTATCTTTTGTTTCTTATAATGAATGAGATATGCTACACTTATTGTAGGTCTGTTTAAGATTTTATCTATAAAATATGGGATAGTTACAATGAACTGAAATGTAAAAGAAACGTGGGAAGCTGACTTTTTCTTTTGTTACTTGTATTTGACACCTACAAATGTGAAAAAAATTCCCTGTGTATGTGAATTCCAGAAGCTCCTCTTGGTTGTTTATTCTTGTATTTATTTTTATTTATTATTTTTTATTTTTTTGAGACAGAGTTTTTCTCTTGTCACCCAGGCTGGAGTGCAATGGTGCAATCTTGGGTCACTGCAACCTCCGGCTCCCAGATTCAAGCAATTCTCCTGCCTCTCGAGTAGCTGGCATTACAGGCATGTGCCACCATGCCTGGCTAATTTTGCATTTTTAGTGGAGATGAGGTTTCTCCATGTTGGTCAGGCTGGTCTTGAACTCCTGGCCTCAGGTGATCCACCCACCTTGGCCTCATATCAAGATAGTTATGACTTACATGTATTTGCACAGTTTAAATTTTGTCAGTCCAGGCACGGGCTCTTTGGAGGGTCTATAGCACCTCTTTTGGAAACCTGCACACCTAGGCCTTTACCTTCAACTCTGTCTACTGAACTGTGTCCTGCAGAGGAACTGACTTCAGAATGAGTGAACTGCACCCAACAAGCACCACTGGATTGGAGGCATTCCCCTCAGGCCTGCAAGAAAGCAAAATGTAGCATGCCACTTTTATCTCTGAGAAAATTTTCAAGCAAGATGTGGGACATTTTTCTCCTGAATCAGAGAAAGACTTATCTCTGAATTATTAGTTTCACTTACCCATACATTTTTTGGCTTAGTAATAAAACTAAGGCAATGACATGGATTGTTTGTTCTCTTAATAGAAGTATTCATAAAGGCTTTGCAGGGTGAAATCTTTTTCTTCACTATGTGATAGCAAGGCATTTTCATTATTTACTATAATGTGTAATAATAAATCCCTGAGTTGAATAGTCACTAAATAATCCCTGAGTTGAATAGTCACTAAATGATGTGACTATTGTGACTGTACATATTTCTTTTTTTATTTTACAAAATACGAGTTATTATTGGAAACATAACACATTTTACACAAAGGGAAAGTGATTTTTGTTAAAACCTACAATAATGGTATTAACCTATAGTTACTAGGTTAATATGTAGTCTTCTATTTAGGACGGCATAGAGATACATTTGATGTAATATTCTGAGGGAATTCCACTAACTATTTTTCTATTTCACATTGCCTGAGGTGGCTGCTAAGATTTCTGCCTACTCGTCTATTCTATGGTTCTCTGTCTAAGGGAAGTGATTGTTTTGACGTGTGTATTAATAGAACACCAAATCCTGTTTAATGCATTTTTAAAGATTTTAGGGCGTTATATTAGTAAGAAACTAGCATGAAATCAATCAAGGAGAGATCCTTTACTATCTTTCTTCGATTATGTTTTAGCAAAGATAATTTAATTATGATGAGGAATGTTAGGATTTTAATAACCAGCACTCTAGGTATCATTTATTATCTGCAAAGTGTGGGGAAATAGCATAGGATGCACCTGTCATTTCTTTTTCCAAATTTAATTTTATTTGTGTTCTTTCAGTTCTCTTCTTAGCCACTTGACATTAACTCATTTGGCCATTGGATACTGGCCCATGCTAATCAAAATACTTGTATACATATGAATTTTACTGAGAATTAAGTAACATTTTGAAAAATACAAAAAAGAAAGACACAGAGTCTAAGTAAGTTCACCCTTCTCCTTCCTATCCTCTTCACAATGGCCTACTAATTGCACATTTTGCATGAAATTCTGTGTGCAGCTAGACTATATGTGTCTAGATAGCCATCAGAAATTCAGTTTTGACCAAAAAGTACTACAAATTCACACTGTTTAAATATGCTCACGCACACTGTGCTATTTCAATAGTGAAATCATTGGCATCCTGTAGTCTGTTTCTCAAGAAAACAAGTCTTTGGCATAATTTGTAGGTATGACATGATTATAGGCATAAAAGTACATCAATCAGCCAATATCAAGCTGTTTCGCAGTGATAAACTATTTCAGAGTATGCTATTGAACCTTCTTAATTACTGAATTTTATAAACAAAGTATTTTGTGAGGATAACTCATCATAATGCTGCATTTAATATAATAGTGTAAAACAAATTGAGCGTGACTGTTGGGAAAACATGTCTGACAGCCCGAAATATTAATCCAAGGTGCCGAGCCGTGTGATTGATTAGAAAACAAGGAGGTGATGTTCTTGAATTACATTTTTTTATGAAATGAATTGTGTATAGAAAAATAGGTCATTTCTTATAACTAAAATACCACTTGTGATGACACATATTGATTTTATTCTTTAAAATTTCTACTTGACTATTCTATGTATTGCAATTTACCACTGTTTGTCAGTTGATGCATTTAATCTTAAGTACGAGATTAGGTCTAAAGTGGCCTTCTTTTGAAGAATTATTTTAGAAATAAAGTGGAGATGATTTTTGAACTTGTACCCTTTCTTATTGTACCCTTATTATAAAATTAATAATAATTTGTTTTTACATGTAGGTGCATACTTTGGTCAGACTATTAAAATCTATACTTTTGTGGATCTGTAGCTTGCTGTGAGGTACAGATACTTGGTTAGAATAAAGTACCCCACCCCCTAGATTTCCACCGAGCCATGTGCCGTGGCGTTACAGTGACACATAGTCAAGACTAAAACATCTTTTCTACACACAGCAAGTTGCATTCCCTGCCTCCTATGCTAGATCACTAGGGATTTAATTTCCTGAGGCTGGCTTCCTGTCTTTTCTCTAAGTTTTCCATCATTTTTTCTTTGTGATTTAAACTTTATTCTGGGCTTCCAACATGAACTTGCTCTCTGCTGCTGGGAACAAGATGACTGGGCACGTCTGGAGGATCAGGATGACGGATGAGC